TTAATGCAAACAAAAACAGTCGCAAAACCTTTAAAACAAGTAAATTGTTGAGAATGTTTCTCTTGTTCAAGCCCAATAGCGAACGGAGCTTCTCTATCAAAGTTTTTGGGTGCTCAGCGTTTAGTTTTTTTTTTAAAGTAAACTTCAAATTTTATGGGTTTTTTTCAAAAGCTTTATAGTACAATTTTTCCTTCTGGAGATTTTTTTTTGAGTTTCTGGAGGTTTTTTGAATTTTATCAATCTCCGAAAGTCGCTAAAACAAGAGCAACAGCAAAACTTTGAACGCTCCGACTGCCCCTTAGGTCCAAGGAATATGTCATTTTTACCAGGTCATTTGAAAGATGATAGTAAATTTATACAAAAACTGAAAATTTTGATTTTTGTCAGGTTCTTTCTTTTAAAAATTTTCTCCAACACTGATTGTGGAAAAGTTGAAGAACAAAGTGATGTAATTAGCGTCAGGCATGTTACATTAGTTCCAAATATCTTGCCTGAAAACAAAAAAAAACATTTTTTGAAAAAAGTAGTCGCTCACACGTTAATAGAACGAAACATATCGCGCGTTAATAGTCCGAAGTTAACCAAGTTGGCAACTTTCACACACACTTATAATTTCAACGAAAAATCATAACAATTATTTGTTTTCCTTACAATTTTTAAAATATATTTTGGATCGTATAAAAAATTCCACTCAAAGGAGGCTAGTTAAAGAAGTGAAATTCGTCTGAAGAAAAAAGCACACTGAGCTCGAGTAATCTATCCTTTCTTTGGAAGTTGAATTAAAAAGTATGAAATTTGATCTAAGATTCTTTTAGAAGGGATTATGTGTTTGAAGTCCTAATAAACTTATAGTTTTATGCTCGATTTCGCTGCCAATTTGTCCGCCATATTGATATTAGAAGGTTGTCAGAAGAAACTGATTGCTTTTATGGGGGCCGTACACTGATAATTTGATATCATGTAATTTCAAACTGGTTTTATTTTTTTGGTGTTTTGAATCTCAAAGGAGCTGTTAGCGGCCAAAACAATTCATTTAGTGATATTTTCTCTCATGCTGTAATTAATGGTAGAAAGTTGCAGGAAAATTGAACAGACAGATCATTGAAAGAGCAAAAATCACTTTTTTCGTCCAAATTTCATTTATTTTTCTTGCAAAATGTTTGTCTGAAGTTGCCCAAACTTTTTAATTTTTTTTAATGTCTCATAGTACCCAAACAAGCATTTATTTGTTGACATATGGCAATTTTTTTAGGAACAAAATGAACTCTGTACAATTTTTTTTGGAATTTTATTATATTTTTTGAGGTTAGTTGTTTTGCTTTTTAATAGCCCCATTCCTCTGTTAAATTATTGGTCTGAAATTTGCGCAATCTTAAACAAATTTTGACGTAAGAGCACGAACTTTCAAGGCCAAACATAGTGGACAAGGAGTTGTGAATTGTTTCTCATCTGAATATTTCAGCGCGAACGTCTTGCTATGCTATTTTACTAACCAACCCAAAATGGGGATGCTGAAAAACACATTAAATTTTTCAGGGTAGAATACATCCAAAATTTTTCGTTAGACGGCATATGGAAGAGGGAAGGAACTTTGTATACTGCCAGTGAAAATACTTGCTGATTGAGGAAAACCATCATTTATGCCATCTATGATTCAATCTCCTGACAGCGAAATTTCATCCTTAAACATTCCTGAATCATCACTGATTCATTTTTGAACCATCCATGCTTTATAATCTTCTTTTATTATAAATTCGGACTTTTTTTGTCTGTACTGAATCCGGGAAATGTTAAATGAAAATGCGGAGTCAAAATCAATTGATGTTTAGCATGAAACAATCGCAATCAGACATTACTTTGAAAAATTCGAGCTTCATCAGAAAAATCAAGAACAAAACGTCGATTTTTTTATTGTTGATTCAGCTTTATATATATTTTTAAGTTATCCGCGCTAAATCATCTTTGGAAGTTCAACTTACTATAGTTTTTCAAGGCCAGTTGAAATCAGCGTTTTTAAATTAAAAAAAAAAACGTTTTCTCCCAAATTCTGGGAGAAAATCTCGCAAAATTTGGTGCCATATACAACAATCAAAATGAGTCGTCAATAAGTATATAACAAATTAAAGGTTTTTCAATTGTGATTCGAACGATACACGACACATGAATATAATTAAAGTGAACACTAAGATGAAATTAACAAACTGGAATTAAAAAAACCCCTTCAGTTTTAAAACTCCAATTTCAATTTTAATATGGCAAATAGTTTAAATACTTAAAAAGGTCGCGTTTGGAGATCGCATTTGGCAGTAATTTTGATAGATGAAATTAAAAAGATATTTAATCAATTGTCGTTGCAATCAATTTTTATTCAGTATCAGCATAATTGCGTCCACAAGAAAAGGTCGACAAAGTTCATCGCTTATACCTCGCCCTCAGAAAAAACGCTTTGTTACAAATCTTTCTGACCTTTCGCGGCAGTTTCACTTCCATTTCAAATCCTGTTCCGGTTCAATTGTGAAACTTGAGAGGGGCAGAATTATTAATGAAGAATGCGTCAGCTGTTTTTTCACTCAGAGCTAATCTTTTGAAATTAGATATTTTTTCACACCATAAATCAATTTTGTGAGTTCAAGAACAAAAATTAGAATAATCTGATCTGAATAAATTAATGAATCGCAATTTTTTTGAGCTAATGTAGGAGCCTTAGCATATCCTTCACTTCAAGTCAATTGTGACTGTTAATGATGAAGAATTCAACTCCCAATCAAAAATCGTCTCAAAACAGCGTCATGATTTATCCAGTTCAAATGATCGCTTCCTTTTAACCTGGTAGATTCTTTGTGACTTATTTGACAAAGAATCTTTGGTAATCAGCATCAGAATGCAATCTGCTTAAGAATGATAAGTACTTTCCCAGGTGCAAAAAAAAGTTGAAAGGGAGAAACCAAATTGACCGACTGGAAAGCTAATATCTATTGTTTCGACTATTCAAAACGAGGAGGAACTATGTATTTGGGGGTTTCTCTCTTTTTGTTTTCCACGGAAAATCAGGCATTCCAAAAAATTTATGATATATCTCATCAAAGCCTGTTTAGCCATGATTCGAACGGCAATAAAAAATTCAGTGGAAAAAAAATCAATGTCAAGTTTTTGATTTTTCGTCTTATTTCAAGCTAATAAGGTGGGGCAAAGCAGGCTTACAAACAGGGGCGGATTTAGGAGGGGGGGAGGGGGCGGGAGGCGGACGCCTCCCCTCAGGGATTCGACCCCCTGCCGACAAAATAGGGACAAAACCGTGCTTTGGGAGAGCTCGAAAAATCAATTTGGTCGACCTAAAAAGAAAAAAAAGGTCGTCAAAGTTTTCGACAATTTTTTGAAAATCCGCCCCCCCCCCTCGAGAAAATCCTAGATCCGCCCCTGATTACAAAAACTTATTTATGCTTAATTTAGGCCTTGAAATTGTGGTTTTTAAAAAAAAAAATAAACTTAAATTTGGGAATTTTTCAGCGCCAACTTGTTAATCAAAAACTTCAAATTTCAAAAACTTTTGCAAAAAAACAACGAAAAACTTATTAATTTTTTAATATATTTTTCTAAAAATTTTTTTTTCGTTTTTTTAAAATAATTTTTGTTTGCTATTGGAATATTGGTTCCATGACATTCTACCCTATTCCAATCTACCCTATGCTAATCTACCCTATACTAATCTATCCTACATACCAATCTACCCTATACCAATCTACCCTATACCATTCTACCCTATAATTAAAGCAATTGAAACTTACCCCATCCTCTTGAAGAATCCGAAACAGTATATTTCCGAACAAATCAAAGAACCATTAATTATGATCAAAGAATAATTGACGCACGTGAACAAAATATCAAAGCAACGTAAAACTTGCGCGTTCAAAATGGAAATGAGTTCAAAGCATGAACGAACAGAAATTTTAATCCAATGTTGCTATAGAAATGCGTTGCGGCTATTTCTTAAACAAACAAAAGTCATATCACATCAAGTCGACATAGCGTAGCGGATAATGCCTGTGTTTGAAAATCAAAAGCTCGAAAGATCAA